ATACATACAACATGGATACATATATATATTTATATGCATGCCTCAGCGGTATAATAAAAGTTCGCACCACTTGACCATTTAACGTCACAGATGTATATAAGTAAATCTGTACATACATATCATATATTGTATTTCTATATATACACACACACACACACACATATATATATATATATATATATTGCATACACACACACATACACACGCACACACACATTATATATATATATATATATATACGTATACATGTACATATAATTATACATATACATATTTAAAATTGCACGTTACAACGCAAATTATTTTCTTACATAGATATATTCACACATTACTTACCATCCTACGTAAAGCTGGCACAGATTCTCCTGCGAGGTTGCTTGGGCCAAGAGTCGTTCGACCTGGAGCTCAACGCTCAATGTTTCTGTGGCTTTGAAGTCGCGACCAGTCAGTTTAGCCTGCACTCGGTTGATGACCTGTATGTTGGGATAGGGTTCAGGGTTTGAGCCGATTGATATTCTGTGTTTACATAGGGAGTTGATGTTGACTCGAGTGATGGCGAGTGATAACGAGTGGTAGTTTACAGTTTAGGATTTGAGTCCGTTAAAATCCGTCTGTTGTATTGGCTTTGATGACCTAAATATTGTTCCAGCGTTTAAACTTTTTCTCGGTTGGTGATTGTTTCTTTTAAAAATTTAGGGAGCCGTGGGTTAAGTTAAAAGTTGTGCTGTTCATAGTTGCGATGGCATGTTTGGTGTCATTTAGAGTGAGATTTCGCATAGTCATATCATATGACATTTCATCCGGTGGCGTGGATGCTACGAGAAGATGGATGGCTATACGTATATACACACAGGAGTCGAGAAGATGGATGGTTATACGTATCTACACATATTGGACACTGACTGTGCAAACTGATGCCCGCCTGAACATGACGCTTGCTGACAGCTTCGAGTGAGTCGGGCAATACACCATTCACAATGTCGCAAACACTTCATATCTGACACGTACCTACACAGCCCGTTAACTATATGTGACAAACACTTCATATCTGACCCATACCTGCACGGGCCGTTAACTATATGTGAGACACACTTCATATGTGACACGTACCTACACAGCACGTTCACTTTATGTGACACACACTTCATATGTGACATGTACCTACACAGCACGTTCACTATAAGTGACACACCCTTCATATCTGACCCATACCTGCACAGCACGTTTACTATATGTGACAAACACTTCATATCTGACATGTACCTGCACAGCACGTTCGCTGACCACTTCGGGCTGGGCATCGGCGATGTCTTGCGGGTCGTCTCTGTTCTTGACGCGGTACACCGTCACACCATAGTCTGAGTGGTCGATCAGCTCATCGGCTGATTCACGGGAGTATTGGAGAGTGAAAGTTGTCTACACTCACTACGTTTATATAAATACAGGTGTGTGTCTCATAGTCAAAGTGTATAGTTTGTAGCTTTGTAACCGGAGTGAGCATTTTGTTTTGTTATACGTGAGAGTAGTCAGCGTGGTCTCACCTTCATATCGGCTGATGTATGAGATACGATTTACATGGTAGGGGTTTAGGGTTTAGGGTTTAGGTGTAGGGTTTAGGGTTTAATGTATAGGGTTTGAGAGTGATACCTACTATGCAACCAAAATAAGTCTCTCTATCGGTATTCATGGACGTAGCACGTGTGGTCTAGGATATCATTGGCTGATATATATACCTCGGGATATCATGGCATGCGTTTGACTCATAAGCACAAAGTCAGTTAATTTGCACAAAAACGCCATAGCTCACAAACGGTGAATGCACATGATCAGGTGTAGTGCATAACAAGCTATAAGTGCAACATTAGTTATAAGTGTAATATAAGTTATAATAACATGATGTAATATAAGTTATAATAACATGATACAAGTGCAATATAAGTTATAAGTGTTATATAAGTTATGAGTGTGTAATATAAATTATAAGTGCAATATAAGTTATAAGTGCAATATAAGTTATAAGTGCAATATAAGTTATAAGTGTAATATAAGTTATAAGTGCAATATAAGTTATAAGTGTAATACAAGTTATAAGTCCAATATAAGTTATAAGTGTAATACAAATTATAAGTGTAATATAAGTTATAAGTGCAATATAAGTTATAAGTGTAATATGAGATATAAGTGCAACATAAGTTATAAGGGTAATAAAAGTTATAAGTGCAATATAAGTTATAAGTGTAATATAAGTTATAAGTGTAATATAAGATACAAGTGTAAAACAAGTTATAAGTGTAATATAAGTTATAATAACATGTTACAAGTGCAACACAGATCACGTCACATGGTCAGTTTCTGCGCATAATAAATAGCTGTCGCACAACACACCTGGGGCCATTTTGTTTTTCTTCTTCTTCCCTTGTCCACCGGTTTCCATCAGACGCCAATTGATCAGAGGATCGTACACGAACGCTTCCAAGACAGCCATTAAACTGCAGAATAACAAGGATGCAAACGGATAGATCTCAGAGCTTAAAATATTAGGACTACTGTAGACCAATGCTTCCAAGACAGCCATTAAACTGCAGAATAACAAAGGATGCTAACGGATAGATCTCAGAGCTTAATATATAAGGACTACTGTAGACCAATGCTTTCAAGACAGCCATTAAACTGCAGAATAGCAATAAAAAGAGACTGTGCTTATAATTTGAGATTCAGTCCTTGATTCAGGGATTGCACTCGGTCGTCGGACTGCCCCGATAGACTATCCAAAAGCGATCCTTCACATACCAGTACATGTGTCTAGATACATCCATACTACCGGTCATGCATGTGTCAGTAGATGTATCTAGAGATAACTACCGGTTATGCATGTGTCAGTAGATGTATCTAGAGGTAACTACCGGTCATGCATGTGTCAGTAGATGTATCTAGAGACAACTACCGGTCATGCATGTGTCAGTAGATGTATCTAGAGGTAACTACCGGTCATGCATGTGTCAGTAGATGTATCTAGAGGTAACTACCGGTCATGCATGTAACAGTAGATGTATCTAGAGGCAACTACCGGTCATGCATGTAACAGTAGATGTATCTAGAGATGCCTAAGGACGCGCCAGTTCCGACACAACTACACCCCCACCCCTATTGTATCGAAGTACCCCGAGCATGACATGTGTGCTTGGTATACAGTACAATAACACGCATACAGCTAAGTAGTAGGACTCATAAGTGTTGGTGGACATACAAGCATATGCAAATGCTTCTAGATGATCTAGAGACATGTGCACCAAACATTTCTGATACAGCAACACACCTTAATAACACATGATATAGTAACACACCTGTCTCTGTCGTCTCTGAGTTAATAACACATTATATAGTTACACACC